CATCTTCCTGGGCGCTGGCCCCACGCTGCCGGGCCGTGGCAGGGCAGGAGCAGCAGGAAGGGCTGTGGGAAGCCGGGGCTTGGGCAGGAGCAGCAGGCCGGGCTGGAGGGCAGGAGTCCCCGGGGACGGAGGGAGCGGAGAACCCTGGGAGCCAGGCGCGCACCTGTGCCCCGTGTGCGCCCACGCTGCCCGAATCTCCAGCACAGACACCTGGAGGGGGTGTAGCAATCACCTGCGAAGGCGGCTCAGTGTAGAGCACTGGCCTAGCACGCAGGAAGCCCTGGGTTCCATTCCTCAGCACCACAGACACAGAAAGAACAGGAAGTGGTGCTGTGGTTCAGGTGGTACAGCGCTAGCCTTGAGCTGAAGCAGCTCAGGGACAGCGACCAGGCCCTGAGTTCAAGCCCCAGGACTGACAGGAAGAGAAGAAAAGAAATCACCTGCTTTCCGGCGGGGAGGCAGATGCTCCCCTGACCACCACCGCCTCCTCAGCCTGCTGCTGGGCTATTGGTGGCAGAACTGGGCCGTGGGAGGCCCAGGTGGTGGCCACTCTCTGCCCCGCAGCGGTCTCCATCCTGGCTCGGGCTTGGGCCGGATGGCGGGAGCCCTGGGGAGCCCGAGCAGACCTGGGAGCGTGGGGCGGGGTGGGAGCTGGTCAGACAGGCCCTGGTCAGGACTTCCGGCGGGGCGGGCAGGGCAGAGCAGCCGGCGGTGCGGGCACAGGCTGCCCCTCCCACCCCCTCCCTGCAGCCAGGCGCTAAAGCTCTGAGCCTCCATTCATCTGTCCACACAACGTGCCCGGCTGCGTCCTACGGACTCGCGCTGGCGTTCGGTTTTACTTCTGGCCTTGAGTTGTGAGGGAGCCATCTTTTGGGTTGTCTGGCTGAGCAGCGTGCACTCCAGCCCGGCCCTGAGGCCCTGGACCCCATCCCTCCCTCCGGCCGGCAGCACGCGGCTACCTCTCCACCTGGAAAGGCCTGACGCCAGGTCAGCAGTGTGGCTCCTCCACTGGCCCGCGCCTGGCCACTGGCTGGTCACAGCCCCACACCCGGCCAAGCCCTACACCACCCTGGAGACGCAAGGACACACGGAAACCCAGGACAAATCCCCCGCATGAGAGGGAAGAGGAGAGCAAACTCCAGGAGCGTGGAGGGCCCCAAACACCGCTGGCCCTCCGCTCCCGGGCACCACCCGCTGCCTTCCGGACCTTTCTCTGCACTCAAAAGCGTGTGGAGGGACAACCACCGTGTGCGGCTCTCCCATGCGGAGGGACGGCCACTGTGTGTGGAGGGACGGCCACTGTGTGTGGATGGAGGCCGCCGTGTGTGTGTGGAGGGACGGCCGCCGTGTGTGTGTGGAGGGACGGCCGCCGTGTGTGTGTGTGTGGATGGACGGCCGCCGTGTGTGTGTGGAGGGACGGCCGCCGTGTGTGTGTGTGTGGAGGGACGGCCGCCGTGTGTGTGTGGAGGGACGGCCGCCGTGTGTGTGTGGAGGGACGGCCGCCGTGTGTGTGTGGAGGGATGGCCGCTGTGTGTGTATGGATGGACGGCCGCCGTGTGTGTGTGTGTGGATGGACGGCCGCCGTGTGTGTGTGTGTGGAGGGACGGCCGCCGTGTGTGGAGGGACGGCCGCCGTGTGTGTGTGTGTGGATGGACGGCCGCTGTGTGTGTGTGGAGGGACGGCCGCCGTGTGTGTGTGTGGAGGGACGGCCGCCGTGTGTGTGTGGAGGGACGGCCGCCGTGTGTGTGTGGAGGGACGGCCGCCGTGTGTGGAGGGACGGCCGCCGTGTGTGTGTGGAGGGACGGCCGCCGTGTGTGTGTGTGGATGGAGGCTGCCGTGTGTGTGTGTGGATGGACGGCCGCCGTGTGTGTGTGGATGGACGGCCGCCGTGTGTGTGTGGAGGGACGGCCGCCGTGTGTGTGTGGATGGACGGCCGCCGTGTGTGTGTGGAGGGATGGCCGCCGTGTGTGTGTGGATGGAGGCCGCCGTGTGTGTGTGGAGGGACGGCCGCCGTGTGTGTGTGGAGGGACGGCCGCCGTGTGTGTGTGGATGGAGGCCGCCGTGTGTGTGTGGATGGACGGCCGCCATGTGTGTGTGGATGGACGGCCGCCGTGTGTGTGTGGATGGAGGCCGCCGTGTGTGTGTGGAGGGACGGCCGCCGTGTGTGGAGGGACGGCCGCCGTGTGTGTGTGGATGGAGGCCGCCGTGTGTGTGTGGATGGACGGCCGCCATGTGTGTGTGGATGGACGGCCGCCGTGTGTGTGTGGATGGAGGCCGCCGTGTGTGTGTGGAGGGACGGCCGCCGTGTGTGTGTGGATGGACGGCCGCCGTGTGTGTGTGGATGGACGGCCGCCGTGTGTGTGTGGATGGAGGCCGCCGTGTGTGTGTGTGTGGAGGGACGGCCGCCGTGTGTGTGTGTGGAGGGACGGCCGCCGTGTGTGGAGGGACGGCCGCCGTGTGTGTGTGTGGATGGACGGCCGCCGTGTGTGGAGGGACGGCCGCCGTGTGTGTGTGGAGGGATGGCCGCTGTGTGTGTATGGATGGACGGCCGCCGTGTGTGTGTGTGTGGAGGGACGGCCGCCGTGTGTGGAGGGACGGCCGCCGTGTGTGTGTGGAGGGACGGCCGCCGTGTGTGTGTGTGGATGGACGGCCGCCGTGTGTGTGTGTGGATGGAGGCCGCCGTGTGTGTGTGGAGGGATGGCCACCGTGTGTGGAGGGACGGCCGCCGTGTGTGTGTGGAGGGACGGCCGCCGTGTGTGTGTGGAGGGACGGCCGCCGTGTGTGTGTGGAGGGACGGCCGCCGTGTGTGTGTGGAGGGACGGCCGCCGTGTGTGTGTGGATGGACGGCCGCCGTGTGTGTGTGGAGGGACGGCCGCCGTGTGTGTGTGTGTGGATGGACGGCCGCCGTGTGTGTGTGGAGGGACGGCCGCCGTGTGTGTGTGGAGGGACAGCCGCCGTGTGTGGAGGGACGGCCGCCGTGTGTGTGTGTGTGGAGGGATGGCCGCCGTGTGTGTGTGGATGGAGGCCGCCGTGTGTGTGTGGATGGAGGCCGCCGTGTGTGTGTGTGGATGGAGGCCGCCGTGTGTGTGGATGGAGGCCGCCGTGTGTGTGGATGGACGCCGCCGTGTGTGTGGATGGAGGCCGCCGTGTGTGTGTGTGGATGGAGGCCGCCGTGTGTGTGTGTGGATGGAGGCCGCCGTGTGTGTGTGTGGATGGAGGCCGCCGTGTGTGTGTGGATGGAGGCCGCCGTGTGTGTGGATGGAGGCCGCCGTGTGTGTGGATGGAGGCCGCTGCGGGCGGCTCTCGGGGCCGGGCTGGGTCTGGCGCTGCTTCTGGCGCTTTTCTGGCCTCACACTCTGCCTTGGGGGGCTGTTCCCAGCTTTGGGGGCTGCGGCTGCTGCGCTGGGGCTGTCCCCACCGGTCACATGACCGCTCAGAATTCCGGTGGACGCAGGGTTGAGGCTCGAACCCGGCCCGTGCAGTCCCATCGGTGCTTTGTATCTGCGTCCAGCGCGGGGACCCCGAGCCCTCCCCGGACCCCGCACCCCGCGCCCCTCCCCGGACCCCGCACCCCGCGCCCCTCCCCGGACCCCGCAACCTGCGCCCCTCCCCGGACCCCGCACCCCGCGCCCTCCCCGGACCCCGCACCCCTCCCCAGACCCCGCACCCCGCGCCCCTCCCTGCACCATGCACCCTGCGCCCCTCCCCGGACCCCGCACCCCGCGCCTTTCCCGGACCCCGCACCCCGCGCCCCTCCCCAGACCCCGCACCCCGCGCCCCTCCCTGCACCATGCACCCCGCGCCCCTCCCCAGATCCCGCACCCCGCGCCCCTCCCCGGACCCCGCACCCCGCGCCCCTCCCCAGACCCCGCACCCCGCGCCCCTCCCCAGACCCCGCACCCCGCGCCCCTCCCTGCACCATGCACCCCGCGCCCCTCCCTGCACCATGCACCCCGCGCCCCTCCCTGCACCATGCACCCCGCGCCCCTCCCCGGACCCCGCACCCTGAGCCCCTCCCCGGACCCCGCACCCCGCGCCCCTCCCCAGACCCCGCACCCCGCGCCCCTCCCCAGACCCCGCACCCCGCGCCCTTCCCGGACCCCGCACCCCTCTCCGGGACCCCGCACCCCTCCCCGGGACCCCGCGCCCCTCCCTGGGACCCCGCGCCCCTCCCCGGACCCCGCGCCCCTCCCCGGATCCCGCACCCCGCGCCCTTCCCGGACCCCGCACCCCTCCCCGGGACCCCGCACCCCTCCCCGGGACCCCGCGCCCCTCCCAGGGACCCCGCGCCCCTCCCCGGGACCCCGCGCCCCTCCCAGGGACCCCGCGCCCCTCCCCGGGACCCCGCGCCCCTCCCAGGGACCCCGCGCCCCTCCCCGGGACCCCGCGCCCCTCCCCGGGACCCCGCACCCCTCCCCGGGACCCCGCGCCCCTCCCAGGGACCCCGCGCCCCTCCCCGGGACCCCGCGCCCCTCCCAGGGACCCCGCGCCCCTCCCCGGGACCCCGCGCCCCTCCCAGGGACCCCGCGCCCCTCCCCGGGACCCCGCGCCCCTCCCCGGACCCCGCACCCCGCGCCCTTCCCGGACCCCGCACCCCTCCCCGGGACCCCGCACCCCTCCCCGGGACCCCGCGCCCCTCCCCGGGACCCCGCGCCCCTCCCCGGGACCCCGCGCCCCTCCCCGGGACCCCGCGCCCCTCCCAGGGATCCCGCACCGGCGCGGGGCGGGGCCGGGCGGGGCGGGCGCTGGCTGCGTCCCCCGGGCCGCACACACGTGTCCGGGCGTCACGTCCGCGCGCGCCCGCGGGGCTGCGTCAGCCGAGGCCGCCGCCGCCGGTGCGGGGCCGAGCGGAGCGGGGTCGGCGGGGAGGGCGCGCGGGGTCGGGGCGGAGCCGGAGCCGGAGCCCGATCGCCCCGCGCCCCGCGCCCGGCCCCGCGCCCGCGGTGACCCCGGCGGGTCGGCGGACGCCCCGCGCGGGCCCATGGTGCGCCCGGCCCGCCATGAGCCGCCCGCCCTCGGCCGGCCCCGGCGCTAGCAAGCCCGGCCCCAAGCCGCCGCCGCCGCCCGCCGCGCCCGCGCCCGGCCCCGCCGCGCCCCCCGCCGGCCCCGGCCCCGCGGCCGCCCCGCTGCCCGAGCTGACGTCGCTGTTCGAGTGCCCGGTGTGCCTGGACTTCGTGCTGCCGCCCATCCTGCAGTGCCAGGCCGGACACCTGGCGTGCAACCCATGCCGCCGCGGGCTGCGCTGCTGCCCGACCTGCCGCGGCGCCCTGACGCCCAGCATCCGCAACCTGGCCATGGAGAAGGTGGCGGCGGCCGTGCGCTTCCCGTGCAAGGTGAGGGCGCGGGGCGCGGGGCAGGGCGCGCGGGGCAGAGGACAGCGGGCAGCGGGCGCGGGGCAGGGGGCGCGGGGCAGAGGACAGCGGGCAGCGGGCGCGGGGCAGGGGGCGCGGGGCAGAGGACAGCGGGCGCGGGGCAGAGGACAGGGGGCGCGGGGCGCGGGGCAGGGCGCGCGGGGCAGAGGACAGCGGGCAGCGGGCGCGGGGCAGAGGACAGGGGGCGCGGGGCAGAGGACAGGGGGCGCGGGGCAGCGGGCGCGGGGCGCGGGGCAGGGCGCGCGGGGCAGAGGACAGGGGGCAGCGGGCGCGGGGCAGAGGACAGGGGGCGCGGGGCAGCGGGCGCGGGGCAGAGGACAGGGGGCGCGGGGCAGCGGGCGCGGGGCAGAGGACAGGGGGCGCGGGGCAGGGGCCCCGAGCTCGGGCGGGCAAGGGACGCAGCCCCACGACCCGAGATCCCCGGACCCTGGGACCCTGGCCCCCGCCGCTCCCTGTCCGTCCTGCGGGCCGGGGACCCCAGACCGCACGCGTGGAGGCGCTGGGGGGCGGCCAGCGCAGCTGCCCGGGGCCGGGCTCCCCGCACCGCCCCGCGCATGGTGAAGGCAGGCGGGACGCGCGATGGGTTTGGTTTAAAACGTTTCCTATGGCAAGAAAGATCGGGTGGAACGCCCGCGCCCTGCACCCGGGCCCGCGCCCCCTGCCCCGCATCCCGCACCCGGGCCCGCGCCCCCTGCCCCGCGCCCCGCGCCCCCTGCCCCGCGCCCCGCACCTGCACCGGCTGCAGCTGCTCCTCCACACTGACGCCGCCCGCCCCTCCTGCGCGTGTGTGCGGGAATGCGCGCGTGGCACCGCATGGTGAGGCCTCGTGTAACCCACGCGCGCACCCCCCCCCCCCAGCCTCCGGCAGCCCGGCCCGGCCTCACCCTGCGCCGGCCGCAGAGGTCCTGGGACTGCGCCCGGACAGGGAAGCTGCGTGGTCAGGCTCGCGCCCGGGTCCTCTCATCGCTCTGTGTTCATTGTTGAGGTCACCTGGGCGCAGCCCCCGGGGCGCGGCAGTTCTCAATCGGGGAACTCAGGCCTGAGTGGATCACAAGCCCTGAACGCGGCCTTGGGTCCGGCCATGAGCCACACTGACCTCCCACGGCTGTGGGAAGGAGACGGGCGGGCGGGGTCTGAGGCCAGCCAGCGCAAATGTAACTAAAGCCCAAAAACGCAGGCCCAGCTCATGTGCCTGCCCACCTAGCAGCCCTGAGTTCAAAGCCCTGCACCACCAAACAAGCGCCAAGGTTTGAAGGAAGGTTGGGCTGGAGGCATTTTAGGGAAACCTGGCGAGCTGCGGCCGCTCCCCAGACGCCCCCAGGCCCCCAGTTCCTCAGGACAGGGAGGGAGCGCGCCCGGAGACCAGAGCACAGCTGGTGACAGCTGGCCTCCCGCGGGGTCCAGCACCTTGGGGAGAAACCGCATCTTGTGGTTCTCAGGAGAACCCGCGACGTGGAGCCCGTGTGTGGCAGGGTCTTAGGAGAAAGGGAAGGAGCGGCGATGTGTGTGCCAGCCGGACTTGGGCTTCCGGGGTCTGTGCGGCCCCACGCAGCCCTGCCAGGCCCGGAAGCCTTCGTGGAATCTCCACGCACAAGTCTCTGTAAGAACACAGCTGGGCAAAGCTCACCCTTTACAAACTGGAATGGAGAACTGTGCAGCCCAGAACAGGATGGAAGCCACCAGGTCTGTGCGTGTGCCAGAGCCGGTGTGGGCCTGGGCCTGTGCGTGTGCCAGAGCCAGTGTGGGCCTGTGCGTGTGCCAGAGCCAGTGTGGGCCTGTGCGTGTGCCAGAGCCAGTGTGGGCCTGTGCGTGTGCCAGAGCCGGTGTGGGCCTGTGCGTGTGCCAGAGCCGGTGTGGGCCTGTGCGTGTGCCAGAGCCGGTGTGGGCCTGGGCCTGTGCGTGTGCCAGAGCCAGTGTGGGCCTGTGCGTGTGCCAGAGCCGGTGTGGGCCTGTGCATGTGCCAGAGCCGGTGTGGGCCTAGGCGTATGCCAGAGCCGGTGTGGGCCTAGGCCTGTGCGTGTGCCAGAGCCGGTGTGGGCCTGGGCCTGTGCGTGTGCCCGAGCCGGTGTGGGCCTAGGCGTATGCCAGAGCCGGTGTGGGCCTAGGCCTGTGCGTGTGCCAGAGCCGGTGTGGGCCTGGGTCTGTGCGTGTGCCAGAGCCCGTCTGTGCCTGTGCGTGTGCAGGTGGTTTAGAGCTGGTGTGCACTCCCCTCCGGCCGTCACCCACACTGCTGGTGGGACTGCTCGGCGCATGTGTTTACCAACGGGGATAAGACCCTGGCACGCGGTGGGGCTGGGAGGTGGGTGTACCCGCGGGCAGCGCAGCGCGAGGCTCAGGGAGGCCCTGGGGACCCTCTCCGCCCAGCTCCCACCTGGTCTCGGGATCTCTTTAGGAGCAGCTCCTGTGAATTCACCGGTACCAGCGTCCGGGCCTCAAGAGCTTGGCCCCCGGTCCCCGGGAGGGGACATGGTGCGGGGGGAGGCCGTGGAGACGGTGCTGTGTGCTTGTTAGTGGAACTTTGTCTCGGAGGAGGACGCTCAGGCCTGTGGAGGGGTCGGCGTGGCCGCGTGAGCCGGCAGTCCGGCCGGTCTGCGAACCTGTGTCCCCCGGACACGCAACCCTGGCTCCTACTTGGGGCTCCAGGTTGTGACTCGGGGTTGGTTCATCAGGGACGCCTTTGAGCCGACCCATGGAGGAGTCGCGCCTCGGCCAGCCCAGAGGCTGCCAGAGGGCCCCCTGTGCGGGCACCGGCTTCTGTAAGTCCACAGCAGTGTGCCCAGCTTTGGCCCAGGCCTCCTTTTCAGGGATCTAGACCGGGGTTCGGCTCTCCTCCATGGGGCATTCATAGTTCATCCTGTGGCCACAAACGCATCCAGTCCCCGATGCCCCCTCCTCGGGGGCAGGACGGCGTGCACGGCGTCCAGGACCCATCCGCTGCCAACAGCAGAAGATTGATGTCTGAGACTGGATCAGATTCTACATTAGAAGTCTCCTACAGCCCGAGTACACCGAAGGACATTAACACGCCATGCAAAGCAGACTTGGGCCTCTGACAAATTTGGGAGACATAGCATTTCTGTAGTCCAAGCACTTGTGAGACTGAATCTGGAAGATTGTGAGCTCAAGGCTAGCCTAGCCTTATAGCTTGTAGTGAGACCCTGTCTCACAACCAACAATGCAGAACCAGCGTAAATAAGGCCCCTCCACATCCTGAGGCTAGTTCAAGCAAAAGCACAAGACCCTATCAAAAAACAAGCAAAAACTAAAAGCTGGACGCCAGAAGCTCACGCCTGTCATCCCAGCTACTCGGGAGGCTGAGGTCTAAGGATCCCGGTTCAAAACCAGCCTGGACAGGAATGTCTGGGAGACTGATCTCCAATGAACCACCAGAAACCAGAGGTAGTGCTGCTGTTCAAAGGGGTAGAGCGCTCGCCTTCAGCAGAAGAGCTCAGGAACAGCACCGAGGCCCTGCGTTCAAGCCCCACAACTGGCAAAAAAGAAAGAAAAAGAGAGAGAGACAGACAGACACAGACAAACTAAAGCAACTAAAAAGGGGAGGGGGGCCTCTGGGCATAGCCCCAGTTCCAGTGCTAGAACTCCTGGCAGTAGTCCCTGAGTCAGAGGACGTACCCCCAGACTACCACACAAAAGAGAGGCCTGAGCACTGTGGGGGGGGGGGTGCCGGAAGCAGGGGAGCCTGGGAGAAGGGCAGGGGGGGAGGGGGCACCTGGGCCCCAGCTGACTTTGAGGCGCCTTTGTTTGCTGGAATATCCTCTAAGGAGACCTCACAGAACCGGTTCCCCCAGCCCCCGCTGACCACACGCTCTGGAATCGCGGTGTGGCTCAAATGGTAGCAAGCCTCCCCGGCCGGCTTGACACAACTTCGTGTAAAGTCCCTAAGATGAAAGTAAACCCCCCAACAGCGCACGCTGCACGTGGGGCCCCTCATACCCCGTCAGGCGAAAAGGGTGGACCTTTAAACCAGGGCTCCGGTTGGAGTGCTCCCCCAGAGGAGAGCCACAGTATTTCAGAGCCTCCGTCTGACAGCTCTGGAGCTGAGTGACGAAGGGGCTTCGTGGCTGACCTGAAGGGCAGTGGGCACACAATGCCACCAACCGCCCGAGGTGACTGGCCGGCTCACAGGCAGAGAGGCAGATGGCCGGAGCATGGCTGACGGCAGCCCATGGCTGACACACACCACCACCGCCTGGCACTTACACACACCACCACCACCGCCTGGCACACACACACACACACACACACCACCGCCTGGCACTTACACACACCACCACCACCGCCTGGCACTTACACACACACACACACCACCACCACCGCCTGGCACTTACCGCCTGGCACTTACACACACACACACCACCACCACCTGACACACACACACACCACCACCGCCTGGCACTTACCGCCTGGCACTTACACACACACACACCACCACCACCTGACACACACACACACCACCACCGCCTGGCACTTACCGCCTGGCACTTACACACACACCACCGCCGCCTGGCACTTACACACACACACACCACCATCGCCTGGCACTTACACACACACCACCACCGCCTGGCACTTACCGCCTGGCACTTACACACACACACACCACCACCACCTGACACACACACACACCACCACCGCCTGGCACTTACCGCCTGGCACTTACACACACACACACACCACCGCCTGGCACTTACACACACACACACACCACCGCTCCGTGCTTCACAGACGTGAAGTAGGTGAGGTGCATGTATCAAAAATGATCCACAGAAAACGCAGTATCCGAAATCTAAAAAACAACAACAACCCCACATTGGATTGGAAACCTCTTTGCACAACTACTTTAATAAAATAAAAAAATTTTCTTATACGATCTCAAGGTCTACGGAATGTTTTAACGTGAACTTCTGCGAGAGGCTTCGGATAAAGTAAAATTAGCACGGTGCATCTGCAGATACACCTCGTGTCTGTTTACCAGCAGATACGTGGTAGGCGAGAAGCAACAGCGATAACAAAAATAGAAGCCTACAGAGTGCTGTGAACAGCCTGTGGTCGCTCCATGACCTGGTGCTGCGTTAGCTGCTGGCTAGCTGCTGCACCAAGTGTAGCTCCGTTCCCTCCCATCTGCACAGACCTGCAGAGTCCTCATTGTCTGCCAGTCACACACACTACACCGTCAGGAATTCCTCCCCGCCGTCCGATGCGTGTGTCTGCGCCTCTCTGTATGGATCAGGCAGCACGCTGGAAGGGAGCCGGCCTTGCCGGCCTCGGCCGTGGGTGGTAATGGAGTCCAGGGTGGTGGGGGGGCAAAGGCAGGAGCGGTGGGTGAAGGGGCTGTGGGAAGGCCACGCCGGGACCACCGCACGGCCAGGGCCGGCCCTGGACGATCGGGAGACAGTGGTGACCAAAGGAGAAGCTACCGTGTCTTTCTTGGAAGATTATGTTGGTTTGCTGAAATGACTCCCAAGGAGGCCCTAGCCGAGAAAACGTCACCTTAGCTGTGGTTGTGTGTAGTTAGGAGTGTATTTTCTCCTGCTAGCAACACACTCATGATCGAGCTTAATTCCTGCGACGCACTCCTAAGCAACCTGCCCAGGGAGGATAATTCGTCGCCCTGTCCCTGAGTTCTCCCGTGCATTTTTATTCTGATGTGATTTCAAACTACACGGCGGTTAAAATAAGAGTGCAGCCGGACGCTGGTGGCTCACGCCTGTCATCCTAGCTACTCAGAGGCTGAGATCTGAGGATCACTGTTCAAAGCCAGCCTGGGCAGGAAAGTCCATGAGACTCTCCAGTAAACCACCAGAAAACCGGAAGTGGTGCTGTGGATCACGTGGTAGAGCGCCAGCCTTGAGCTGAAGAGCTGAGGGACAGCACCCAGGCCCAGAGTTCAAGCCACACGACTGACCGGGGAAAAAAAGTGCAAAAGAAGCCCCAGACAGAAGCCTTTATCCTGCACCTGGTTCTTCAGTCATGGGGAGTTTTAAATTGTTGAGTGTGAATTGCTGGCGTTGACCCCTGACCCCTGTCTCCTAAGAGCCAGAGATGGTCCATAATTGCCGTGCAGCCCTCGGACCAGGTCAGGGGGGTTGGCGCAGCTGTGAGTTCCCCAGACCAGGCTGTGCAGTGCGTGCAGCCTTGTGTGCATGTGTGCAGCTGGGCCGTGTGCATATTGTGTGTAACGCAGCCTTGTGTGCGTGCTGCGTGCATATTGTGTGTTATTTTTTTCAGCTATTTACTTTGGAGGGCAGCCGTGTGCTTTTGCTTGCTCTAGGTAAGGATCTTTCTTGGCGTTAATCCAAACGTTGGTGAGCATCCACACAACATAGCAACTGTGCTTTGTTTTTCTCGAGAAGTGCTCATTTGAGACCCGGGCTGGGGAGCCTGCTGGTAAAAGCCAGCCCTGGGGCAGGGCGGTGGCGCTGGTCCCAGGAGGTCCTGGCTCCTGGAGCTGGGGAGCCTCTTGGCTCAGGAAGTCCTGCCCGTCAGGTGGATGCTTGGATCCGTGGATCTGTTGACTGTCTGCGGTCCTGCAGCAGGCCTGGCGCAGACCAGCCCCGGCGCAGACCAGCCCTGGCCAAGGGCTCTCTGTTCAGATGGGAAAAAAATCGCGTGCATTTGTGTATGAGAGTCACAGCCGTGAGGGAGCCCCGAGTCGGGGACAGAGCGGGGCTGCGGCCGCTTCCCGCAGGACAGACACGGGACGGGTCACACGCACCTCCGGTGGCCGGGCTGTGTGAGGCCTGTGAGCTGTTGTGTCCGAACCCTGTGACGGCCAGAGTGAGGCTTCAGCACCTACTCCCCGCCTCTTACCACGCTTTCCCCGCCTCCTCTCTCGCTCTCTCCTCGCCTCCCATTCCCTGCGGAGTTTACTCATAGTGAATTCCCCAGCCGGGGGATGCTCCTCCACCCTCCAGGGGCCTCAGTGTAGCTGTGGATGGGCTTTTTGGGGTCACGTGGTGCCATTGAGAACCAGGTCCCTGAAGAATGCCTCCCGGCCTGTGCTTTCACATTTGGGGGGCAAGGGGAACCTCTGGGTATGCCAGCCAGATGCTGGGCACTGGCGTCTGAGGTGCTGGTGCTGGGTACTGAGGCATGTGCACCTGATACCCAGGTGCTGGTGCTGGGTCCTGCTGGGCAGGGCCCGGGGGCCGGATGCTGGTGAGGAGGCTCTGCTGGGCAGGCCCGGGGGCCGGGTGCTGGCGCTGGGTCCTGCTGGGCAGGGCCCGGGGGCCGGGTGCTGGCGCTGGGTCCTGCTGGGCCGGGCCCGGGGGCCGGATGCTGGTGAGGAGGCTCTGCTGCTTTGTCCTCTAAGGCATGGTGCCCCCAGCGCCGTCCCCCCCTTGCAGACCGCGGTGGACGTGAGCGCCGGCCCGCGCGTCTGTGTGCTCTGGTGCGGCCTCGGGCCGGGGCCGGAGGTGAAGACGGAATAAACTGTTTCCTTCTCTCAAAACACTGATCATGCGACTCCCAAGCCACTGTGTGCAGTCGTGGAGCAGCAGAGGGCAGCACGGGCCCGCGCGGCAGCCATGCCCCTCTGCCTGTGTCCCCGCAGCGCAGCGCTGGCTGACGCCGTGTCTCTGTGTCCCCGCAGCGCAGCGCTGGCTGACGCCGTGTCTCTGTGTCCCCGCAGCGCAGCGCTGGCTGACGCCGTGTCTCTGTGTCCCCGCAGCGCTGGCTGACGCTGTGTCTCTCTCTGTCCCTGCAGTACGCCACCACCGGCTGCTCTCTGACGCTGCACCACACGGAGAAGCCGGAGCACGAGGATGTGTGTGAGTTCCGGCCCTACGCCTGCCCCTGCCCCGGCGCCTCCTGCAAGTGGCAGGGGGCCCTGGAGACGGTCATGTCGCACCTGATGCTGGCGCACAAGAGCATCACCACGCTGCAGGGGGAGGACATCGTCTTCCTGGCCACGGACATCAACCTGCCGGGCGCCGTGGACTGGGTCATGATGCAGTCCTGCTTTGGCCACCACTTCATGCTGGTGCTGGAGAAGCAGGAGAAGTACGAGGGGCACCAGCAGTTCTTCGCCATCGTGCTGCTCATCGGCACGCGCAAGCAGGCCGAGAACTTCGCCTACCGGCTGGAGCTGAACGGGAACCGGCGGCGGCTGACCTGGGAGGCCACGCCGCGCTCCATCCACGACGGCGTGGCCGCCGCCATCCTCAACAGCGACTGCCTGGTCTTCGACACGGCCATCGCGCATCTGTTTGCGGACAACGGGAACCTGGGCATCAACGTGACCATCTCCACCTGCTGCCCCTGACGTGCCCGGCTCCTCCGTTTAATAAAAGGTTTTATAGAGGTTTACTCGGTATGTCTGCACACGTCCTCTCCCGGCATCCCCCGGCAGTTCGTGAGCGGGAGGACCGGGGTGGCAGGGGAGTGACCTGCTCTGTGACCCCAAATCCACCCTGGGGGTCACTTTATCACTGCCCGGCTGAGCCTCAGGCCGCTGTGCCCAGGGCTCCGTGTTGGCGCCCGGAGCCGGGTGGCCCCACCAGCCTGTCCCCCCGTGAGGAAGCTCAGGCCAGAGACCCTTCCGGCATTGCTTGCGTCCAGGCGGTGCCTCTCCCCCGGGGAGGACCACACGCAGAATCTTTTAGAGGACCTGAGTGAAAATGCAGATTTGGGCCGGGCACCGGTGGCTCAGGCCTGTCATCCTAGCTACTCAGGAGGCTGAGATCTGAGGATCGTGGTTCAAAGCCAGCCCAGGGCAGGAAGGCCTGTGAGATTCTATATCTCCAAGTAACCACAGAAAGCCAGACATGGAGGTGGTGGCTCCGGGATAGAGCGCCAGCCTTGAGCAACAAAACTCAGGGACAGCGCCCAGGCCCTGAGCTCAAGCCCCATGACCAGAAAGAAAGAAAAAGATTCAGGGGAGTCTGAATTCCAACAAGGTCATCAAGTGAGCCTTTCACACGGTTTGGGGGTGACCGGCTTGAATCGTGAGTTTGGACTCCGGGTGCCTTCAGGCTGCTCCGGCCTTGCCCTGCCTGTTCCATCCACCCTGGGCCAGAGCACGGAGCCCATGCCCGGGCATGCTCATGCCCAGGACCCGGCTGCCCCTGGGGTTCAGGGTGGGTTGTCCAGGACAGCAAGGTCCGGCCTGACTTTCTCGCTGGCTGGCTGGCTGGCCCACGGCCCCGCGGAGCTGCTTCTCCCACCCCGGCCCTCCCCGACCGGTGGTGAGGCCCTGGTCAGTAGTGAGACCAGCTTTGTCACAGGTGTCACAAGGTGCTGTTTAAAGGTACGTGTGGGTGGTGGGGTTTTTATTTTTTCATTTTTCCCACATTCACTTTAGTTTTTTAATAAATATTTTCCATAAACAAACAGCGAGCGTGCTTTGTGTCTCTGGTTGAAGAACAGCTTTTTCTGAGCAGTGCTTTGGGGGGGTGGCGCTGTGACCATGACCTGTGACAGAGGTCGTGGCCTGGGCCTGCGTGGACGCCTGCGTCCTGAGCCCCCCCCCCGTGGTGGGGGTTTGGGGGCATGCCCGGGAGAGGCCGGCTGGTGCCACACCCACCGCACAGCCGCACTCCACTTCCTTGAGTGGAATTTCCTGCCAGAAAATGAACAACTTCCCCAGGTTACCCCCCCCCACCCCCGGGTGGGAGGAGGTGAGATGGACGGACAGCAGGCCGGCAGGCCGGCAGGCCAGCTCTGCCACGGCGCATCTGTTCACACAGTTCAGGGAGGCCGGTCTCTAGCGGGCCTCTATCACCAAGCCTCCTCTTCTAAGCCACAGCCCAATGCAGAGTCCTGTGAACTCAGGTTGGCCTGGGCGTCCCCGGCCAGCAAGCAGGAAACAGCTGAGGCCCGATGACTGGTGCCATCTCGGAGAGGAGGGGAAGGTGTGGCCTGGGTTCCCGGAGCCCCGATGTCCTGTGGTGACAACGGGGTGCTTCCGTGCTGGGCAAAGGGGCAACACAAAGCCCGCCCCACATGTGCAGAGTGGCCTCCGGATTGCGCCCTACCTCCTGCCCCCAGCGCTTTAACACCAGCATCAGCAGTCACCCCTCCAAGCACTGTCTGGCCTTCAGGGCACCGGTGTAGGCCAGACATGTGCCATCCATGTGCCCCCGCGTACACCCCCGTACCCCCTGTGCCGCCATGCCCCCCATGGGATTAGCAGACTTTCCTGACCAGTGATGGAGGACACCTCGAGCGGTGGCTTATTTTCCCGTCCATTGGGGGGTCACTAGACGCAGAGCTCACAGATGTTACGAGTGGGGGTAATGGGACTGGGCCCCTGGCAGCGGGGTCCTGGGTGAGGATCAGCGCTCAGGGCACCGTCCCTGCCGGATGGCGTGAGTCACCCGTCACCCCCAAGCTGGGTCCGGGAACGTCTCCCCGGGCTCCTGCTGACGGCGACCAGGGCTCAGCGGATGGTCAGAACTGTTCTCCAGGCCTGGCGCCCGAGCCTCACGCCCGCCAGCCTAGCTACTCAGGAGGCTCAGATCTGAGGATCGCGGTTCAAAGCCAGCCTCTCGAGGCCGATGTAGAGCAAAAAGCCAGGAGTGGGGTGTGGCTGGCAGGGAGACGCAGAGCGGCAGTGTCTGGGCCGGTCCTACCCTAGTGTCTCCTCGGGGCAGAGCAGACCCCACGGGCGAGCCCGTCACTGCACGGTGCCGTGGGGGTCCGGCCGAGGGGCTGGGGTGGTCAGGGCTACGCGGCCGCAGGGCCCTGCGGACCGGCCGGGACATCTGTGGGGTCTGTGGGATCCCTGGGGGCCTGTGGGCATCCGTGAGGCCTGTGGACATCCGTGGGGCCTGTGGGCATCCGTGGGGCCTGTGGACAGCCATGGGGGGCCTGTGGACAGCCGTGGGGGGCCTGTGGGCACCCATGGGGCCTGTGGGCCTCCGTGGGGCCTGTGGATATGCGCGGGGCCTGTGGGCATCCGTGGGGCCTGTGGCCATCCGTGGGGCCTGTGGGTATCCGTGGGGCCTGTGGACCTCCGTGGGGCCTGTGGATATGCGCGGGGGCCTGTGGGCATCCGTGGGGCCTGTGGGCATCCGTGGGGCCTGTGGATATCCGTGGGGCCTGTGGACAACCGTGGGGCCTGTGGACATCCGTGGGGCTTGTGGGCATCTGTGGGGCCTGTGGACCTCCGTGGGGCCTGTGGACCTCCGTGGGGCCTGTGGGCATCCGTGGGGCCTGTAGACCTCCGTGGGGCCTGTGGGCATCCGTGGGGCCTGTGGGCCTCCGTGGGGCCTGTGGATATCCGTGGGGCCTGTGGATATGCGCGGGGCCTGTGGGCACCCGTGGGGCCTGTGGGCATCCGTGGGGCCTGTGGACATCCGTGGGGCCTGTGGATATGCGCGGGGGCCTGTGGGCATTCGTGGGGCCTGTGGATATGCGTGGGGGCCTGTGGACATGTGTGGGGGGCCTGTGGGCAACCGTGGGTATCTGTGGGCATCCGTGGGGCCTGTGGATATCCGCGGGGCCTGTGGGCAACCGTGGGTATCTGTGGGCATCCGTGGGCAGCTGTGGGGGCCGTGGACATGCGCAGGGCCGTGGGGTGCATCGTGGACTCCACCGGAACAAGCGCCCCCGAGGGGCCCCTGCCCCCCCCCCCGCCCCGCCTCCCTGCGCGGAGCAAGCCGCGGACGGAAGTGAAAAGAACCCACTGGGAAGGGGGCCCGCGCTGAGGGCGCTGCCCCTTTAAATCCGGGAGGCCCCGGGCGGGGCCCCGAGAGGCTCCGCCCCTTCGGATCCCGCGGGCTTCCGGCGTTGCCTGGGAGACGGCAGACTCTAAAGACGCCCCGCCCCTTTGGATCCCGCGGGCTTCCGGCGTTGCCTGGGAGACGGCAGACTCTAAAGACGCCCCGCCCCTTTGGATCCCGCGGGCTTCCGGCGTTGCCTGGGAGACATGGACTCTAAAGGCGCCCCGCTCCTTTAAGCCCGGTGGGCTTCCGGCGTTGCCTGGGGGACGGTGGACCCTGGAGAGCCCGCCCCTTTAAATCCCGCGGGCTTCCGGCGGCGTTGCCTGGGGGACGGTGGACCCTGGAGAGCCCGCCCCTTTAAAATCCCGCGGGCTTCCGGCGGCGTTGCCTGGGGGACGGCAGGCGCCCGCCCTTTAAATCCCATGGGCTTCCGGCGTCCGACAGGGGGTCGGCAGGGGGGCGCGCGCGGCGCGGGGCGGCCCGGCCAGGCCATGGAGGGCGTGCGCTCGGACCTCAGCTCGGGAGAGTGGGAGGAGGCGCTGGAGGAGGAGGAGGAGGAGCTGGAGGAGTGGGAGGAGGACGAGGAGTGGGGCGCGGCGGCGGGGGCCGCGGGGGCCGCGGCGGAGGCGGAGGCCGGCGCGGCGGAGGCGGAGGCCGCGGCGGAGGCCGGCGCGGCGGAGGCGGAGGCCGGGGCGGAGGCGGAGGCCGGGGCGGAGGCGGAGGCCGCGTCCTCCTACGAGCGGCTGCTGCGGGCCGCGGTGCGCTGCGGCGACGAGGACGACGACTGGACGCGGCCGCGCCTGGTCAGCGTGGTCAGCCCGAGCGTCAGCTCCGCGCCGTCCAGCCCGGCCTGGAGCTCCACGCCCAGCGGCTCGGCCAGCCCCAGCCTGGCCTCCTCGGGCTCGAGTACGCGGGGTGCGGGGGGGGGGGGGGGGCCCAGCCTGGCCTCCTCGGGCTCGAGTACGCGGGGTGCGGGGGGGGGGCCCAGCCTGGCCTCCTCGGGCTCGAGTACGCGGGGTGCGGGGGGGGGGGGGCAGGGAGGAGGAGGGGACTGGGGAGGGGAGGGCGGGGAAGGGCTGGGGGGATATGGGGGGGAGGGGAGGGCGGGGAAGGGCTGGGGGGGATATGGGGGGAGGGGAGGGCGGGGAAGGGCTGGGGGGATATGGGGGGGGAGGGGAGGGCGGGGAAGGGCTGGGGGGATATGGGGGGAGGGGAGGGCGGGGAAGGGCTGGGGGGGATATGGGGGGGCTGGGGAGGGGCCTGGGGCAGCCCAAGAGACCTGCGTGGGGGTGGAGCCGGGCCTGGGAGCCTGTCCACCGCCTGTCCACCCCGAGTCCATCTCGCGGTTCCATCTGTGCCTGTAACAAGCAGCACGGCCCGGGGCCCAGGCCGTAACCCCAGCTCCTCAGGAGACCGAGCCCGGAAGCTGCTGCGAACGCAGAGCTGCTGGCCTGGCCCGTGTGGCGCGTGTGGACGCCGCCTGGACGCGGTCCTCCGCGAACTGGGGTTACAGGCAGGGCCAGGCCGGTCAACGGCCAGGGAGGGTGCGGAAGAGGTGCCTGGGCCTCGTTCAGTCCTTGCTGCTGTCCTGTGGTTAGCACGACCCTGATTCCTCCCCAGCACGTGCACACATGCGCACACGCA